CCCCCCGGGGGGCGACCGGGGGGGGGGGGGGGGGGGCTGTGCCTGGCGGGGAAGGGGTCGGAGTAAGGGGGGAGGCGGCTGCGCATCGCTCCGCAGCTCTGTGAGACGGCAGAGGGCACGGCCACCCCGCGGGACGGGCAGGCACCCGTGGGCACGGGTACAGGCATCGGTGCCTTCATCGCCTCCGAGGGTGACAGGGCCCGGGGGGACCCAGTCCCCCCCTCTCTGGGGATGACACCTTGAAGGGGTCTGGCATCCCGGGGACCCTCCTCCGTTCAGCCCGTCCCAGCGCCATCCTCATCGTGCACAGAGGTGTTTGGCTGAGCCAGGCAGGATGGAGCTGGAAGAGGCTCCGGCAGGGCTGGATTCGAGCAGGTGGGACACGGAGCTTGGAGAAAGAACCTGGAGAGACCTGCCGGGAGACGCCTTCCTCCGGGTCTGTGCCCACTCCCACCCAGGCTGAGCCCCGGCACAGCTCGCTGCACCGCTGAGCGCTGCTCCTGCAGCTGGGCTGTGAGGACCTGCCTGGATCCAGTGGCCTCCAGCACCAGGACACTGCCCCTGGGGTCCTGCACCCCCAAATTCCCCTCCTGATGCCAGAGCACACAGCAGTCAGAAGCAGCACAGCTCACTCCTCTTCCCTCCCACAGCCCAAGGGGGAAACTGAGGCACCAGGTTCCCACTGGTACCCTCCTTCCCGGGAGGCTCAGTACCCGCAGGAGCACTCTGCCTCACTGGTGTTGCAGAGGAAAGCAAGCAGGGCCTGGCTGCAATCAGAGATGGTCGGCAACACGTGGCTGGGCACAAATATCCCCAAGGTCACCAGGCACAGCCTGGCATTGGGGCAGAGCACTGAGCACAGGTCCTGCTCAGGAGCCACCCATGTGGACTGCACACCCTGGCACACCGCCCCAGAGCACCCTTGGGCTGTGCGGTGCTGGCTGTGGGGGACATGGCACCCCATTTCCCTGCTGGCTGGTGAAATAAAGCCAAAGGAGAGCAGCAGGGGACAGTGCCCAGGAAGAAAAGGGTAGCAGGTGGGGACAATGTGCTCAGACCAGCCCAAGTGATCCCCCAAAGCCCTGGAGACATTTTTCCTCCCCAGTTTAATAAGACACAAAGACGCTAAAAGCTTTGAGAGTGCCTGGCCTGGCCTCTGCACACGCTGCCCCTCTGCATGGGCTGGCAGCAAAGGCAAAAACGGTCCACAGCCTCCCTGACCCATGGCCCGCTGTGCTGGAGCAATGGATCCATGCCCAGCTCTGTCCCTGCTGGGGGACAGTGATGGGGGGGGGCAGGGAAGAAGGCCATGGGGATGCCAATGGAGCCATCACTATGGCACTGCACACCAGTGCCAGCCCCAAAGGGCCACGTGTCCAGGTCTGTAGTGGAACTCGATGCTTTTGCTCAAAGAAATTTCATAGCAGGTGAGGGATCATAGGACAAGACCAGCAAAGCTCCAGGCCAGCTTGGTTGCCCTAAGCTGGCCCTGCCCCTGCTCCCAGCAGCAAAGTGGCTGCAAACAGAGGGGAGCTGGCAGAGCAAACACACAGAGGGCAGGAAAGGTCCAGGGCTGCCCTGAGATGTGACTTTCTCAGGAAATCATCTCCCACAGCAGAGGAGAGATGCTACTGAAGTCAAAGGGCTGGAGGGTAAATGGGTGTAAACAAGATATTACACAAGGGGAAAAAAACCCAACAAGCTGGAAATAGCATCTGAAACTGGGAGGGAGAAGAGGTGCTGCCTGCTCTTACAGGAGTGACAAAGGCAACAAAACCTCATCCCCTCTGGGGATGGAGACACGCTAAAACACAGGGGTCACAGTGCTGGTGACAGCAGGGGCAGGACACAGGGACAGCAGCCAGGTGATGCTGACAGGGATTTGGTAGGGCTGGTTTGGCAGATGCCAGGTGTCCTGGTTTCAGTGGACACCAGGGTGAGTGATGGTGCTGGCACATTGCAGGCCACAGCATCTGGGTGGTGGAGCCAGAAATGGTAGCTGACAGGCATGGATTTCAGTCCCTGCCTCCGGATGGTGCGCAGGCTGCTTTTTCCCTGGGGGATGCCCAAGGCAGGGCGCAGGTCTGTGCTGGTGCAGAGGCAGGTTGTACTATACCGCTGAGGTGTCAGGAGCCTGAGCAAAAGCCCACTTGAGAGATTGCATAAGGGGATGAAGCATTCCTGGAAATCTCTCTCTCATTCTCCATCCTTTCTCTCTCCCTTCCATCCCTCATCTGCCTCCCTTCATTTTCTGGCCACTGTGCTTAGCACACACACACATAGCTGGCTCCCAGCACAGTCCCAGCTGCTCCCCAGGCTCTGTGCACTGTGGCACAGCCATCTCCCTCATCCTTGGGGCAGAGGCTGTTGCCTGCATGCAGCGATGATGCCTCCCACCCCTGTCCCATTCCTTACCCCTGCCTGGGCTTTGCTGCAGGGCAGCCCCTGGGGAGCCCCTGGAGTTCTAGACCTGCATCCTTGTCCCTGCAGGGACCCTCATAGCTTATTTGTCCTGCACTCCCATGGGGATGTCTGCTGGAACTGTGGTGTTTGGAGGTTGCTTGTGTTGGGGCAAAGCAATGGAGACACTGCCAAGCTCAAACCAAAATTCGACATCTGTTTCCCAGAAGTCTCCTTTCCTAGCTGAAGACAACAGGCACATGCTAAGTATGGTCTGCAAGGAGCAAAGACTAGGCAGAGCTTGGTTCACTCAGAGCTGAACCATGGGTCCACCCATCCTCTTCAAGTTGCCAGATCCTGGCTTCCAGGTGGCAACAGACCTCTCTGTCCCGCTTGCCCATGGTCCAGCTGTCCCAGCCCCAGTTTTGCTGGGACACCAGAACCACTGGACCAGGGGTCCTTCTGCCTTTGCTTCCCCTTTTCCTCCACTGTTCGCATCAGCCTGCTGGAGCATCCCCCATAACTGGGGCCTCAACAGCTGCTCCCACCCTACCTGCTGTCTTATCTCTTCGGGAAGAGTTGGTGGCTCTCAGGGACTGCACATCACTTCTTTCCCTCGGCATGTCTGTTTCTTGCTATCCCCCCAAGTCCCGACAGGCCTGACAGTGCTTCAGAGCAATCCATCCTGGTTTTCAATTTTCTGATAAACCAAATAACCAGGAGATGGCAACCATCTTCCACTACTGCTCCCCTGCCACTTAAAGAGGGCAAACTGCACATGGGAGCATGACCCTTCAGCCTATTCCCCTTATCAGGCCCTTTATTACATTAATGCTGCCTGCAG